CAGCTGATGAGGGACGGGCCATCAACATTTGGAAAATAACATCCATTGAATAAGGTTTTGTGCAGTTTGAAACCTGCACCTCGCTTTCTTTGCTATTTTGTAAAGCACTTAATTTTGTGAGAGGAAATTTCAAAATTCAAGACACTTTAGTTGGCGTAAACCGAACAACGCGTCCACAGTAAAATCATTATTTGCATCCTATATCATTGAAATTTCTCTGATTTTGGACATACATAGTCTGTGTCATTTATATAAGTGTATACGCTTCTATTACAGCCAATATGGTAGCAGGGTTAGGTACATAGACAGACTTTCACCAAATTGAATCTAAACCTATCTAACGTATATTCCAAATCTATCCCGGAGAGCAGCTCTGAGTTGAATCTGCAACTCTGTAGCTTTACACTTAGACAGTGCCTTATCGGGTGACTGATGTACCATGCGATAACAGCGACTCTTACTTCCCGTCTTTGGGTGCACGTATTGATCCTTCAAATAAACGTTTAATATCTGGTGATGCGTTATCTCCCTCATGAGGGAGAAAAATTCGGATTCCGAAAGACGCGTTTCATTCGATCGCTCCCATATACTGATATCATGGATGTAAGCAGGTGGGTAGATACTGAAAGATTTGAAGGTTATATCATTATAAAGGATGGACTGTAAATTTAATTGATTTCCACATTTAAAATCAACGAGCGCAGTGAACTGTTGCCATAAGCGGGGATCGTCAGACCAGAGTAGACGTACGTCACTAACATCAAAAATTAACATGGCGAGAACATCTAAATTGTAACTAAACATCGTAGCATTGTCAAGTGTTCTTGCATATCCAACGGTGTGTTTCATCTCTGTGTTCTTTGACCTAACTACAATGATGTGAGAATTTCTGCTGACAGCATTATCCTCAATAAGCAGCCATGACTCGGGAACACCTGAAGTGCGTTGCCCTTCGTTTGAAATCTGACGTAACTCAATTTCAAAATTCTTCTCAGGCAGCAAAGAACGTAATAGTTCCAAGTTTGGTAGAGCATCGGTAATGACATACTGTTTCGGGAAAACGCTCACAAGTTCATGACGAATTGGGAATTTTTCAGGTTTGATAAGACAATGGGAAAAGGTCCTACCCCACAACACAGATATTTTGGGGTGAGGACCCAACTCTGAACTCTGCATTAAGTTATAAGAACAGTCAAGCGTTGGTCTTAAAATATAATCAGACCGCTGATTTGAAGCATCTTCTGCAACTTTGGTGGATGTCAACATTTCAGTTTCTTGTTTTTCTCCAATATGTGGCATTTTATTCACGGAAATGGACAATCTGTCAAA